ACGGCCATGTCAATTACACACCACTTCCATATTTTTCTTTCTACATACACCGTTAAATAGAATAGCGAAAATCATAGACCTCCGAATTTTAGCATTCAAGCTGAAATTGATTGGCATGTTCCATTGGTAAGATGAGCTAAGTAAGTCTATCCATTTTACATATTTATAGTTTACTTTTATTATTTTGGAGTTCAAAGAAACTTTTATTTTGGTTTGAATTCCTATTGTACAAACTTTTTTACAATAAGTTTCCCAACTTCAATCTTCTTCAAGAACAATTAACAAATGTTATGGAGCGGAAAAATGGGAAAGAGTTTCTAATTACTGTATCAAAGTGGTCATTGGTTGTTCAGATGGTTCAAAATCGGCAATTAAAATTGGCTCAATTAGTCACTTAATGCGTCTGAAAATCGAAGCTCATCAAGTATCATTAGCGTAATGGCATAAAGCTGGTTTCTTTTCACTCATTGTTTCATTTACAACAACGCCGATTATTTCTACTATGCCATCACTTCCCATCGGAGTGCTTGACATCAATAGACAAGCTTGCCATTCTCATTTGGCGAAATAAAACAAGCACATATGTATAATCATTACATTGCTTTTGCATAGCATTGCCTCGTTGCGTGCTTAGCGAGGCAATGAAAATCAGTGGTAGTTGACTTGGTGAATTAATTGGCTTATATCTGTATCAGGCAGAATGCACTCTTCTTTAATGTTTATACCCAGGTAGATTGGCCAAGGGTATGTGCGCGAATACATTTTATTATACGTTGTTGGGGGGGGGGGGGGGGGGGAGGGCCACAATACCACCATCAATTTAGGCTAATTAGTCGAGTTTGGTGAACATTTGATCGGTGCCATTTGCGGATCTACGGTTTTGTGATTGCCTTCGCTCTTTGATCTCTAGTAGAGCGTAATTGTGAACAGATTGTTTGAATTAATGCCTCAGATTACGAAACCAGATTATTACTCATGAGTCTCTGAAATACTGCCCCCGGGGAGCATTTGTAGTTATTGTTTTAAATACATATAAATTGGTTACTGGTAGAAAGCCCAATCCAATATGTTATATCCTCATATACCGATTATTGTTGCTTTCGTGGTTGGGGTTTCGCTATAGTTTAACAATTCAGCCAATCATTCCTTAGAAGTCCAAACTCATATGAACGTTAGCTTTTTAAATTACTAATTTAGCTCAGATTTACTGGACTTCTGTATTCTCTCTACTGGATTGGCTGGAACGGAACCAAATGCAATCATGGCATCATTAAATCGGCACATGGAGATACCTCAGTAGCAGTCTAATTAGACGGGGGAGGGGGAGTTGAAAATATAATATTAACTACTATTAAACTAGAACAATACCAAGAGTGCAGACATGTCATTTTGCCCAATATTAACTAAAATTCAATAAGAATAATCTTATAGATCAGCGAACATCTTCCTTATCTAAATCATTAGGGTGATAATAATCTTATTGCTATTAGAGGCCCTTGCCCACAACAAATAAGGCTAGTATCTAGGCCCCCAAAATCAATAATAATTACGCCAGTTGAATATGAACTCCTTACGAAAGCATGCTTTCCCTCAACTCAATTTCATCTTTCAAAAATATTCACTTCAATGCGTTTAAAAGTAATAAAATTCAAATCCCTCTTTTAATTTAAGTTCTTTAGATCTCTAGCGCCAACTTTTTGGACAGTTGTAACAATTTTTAAGTTCTGTGTTCCACTATTTTGCAGCGATTAAACCATGTGTTCCGACAAAAAATATCCAACTTATTTGGGATGAATGCATTTAAACTCATTTAAGTAATTGAAAATAACTAAATGGTTTAAGGTGTTTGCCAAAAAGCATATCTCATTTGCCCCACCATAGATGGTGGAATCAATCATTGATTGTTAAACAGTTACTGCAATTGAACAAAGGTATTAAGGTTCAAGTTTTTATGAATAGAGTGGTAACGAATTAATGGTATTAATTAGTAGGAAATATAGCTTAGTCCACATTTTTTCTTTTAATCACGTTTATCCTGTGACTTGGTAACAGACTTAATTCTGTCAGACCTAAAGATTAGAGTCACTAATCTCCTAGTGATAGAGCTTGAATTTCAAAAACTAAGAATGCAAGGTAAATCATTTTAATTCACACACATGAATGCAGTGTTACTTTAAGACTGGAAATAATGTTTTACTTTCGTAGTGGGCAAATAATTAATTTTATTCATTGCTCTTTGTCACCCTGACACCCTCTCTTTTAAAATCCCCGCCCTCCTTTGAGAACATTTTCGGGATCACTTGAAGTTCTTCTGTTGCTTCCATATTCCACTTGGTGACTTGCTTCCATTTCAAGGCTGATATAGAATCCGTCTTCTTCTTCTTCCCATTAGGAGTTCCATCGAAAATTTTCCATCAAGTTTAGAATGAACGGCCGTCCAGAAGTTCACGGATTTTCTGTCAGACTAATTAACAACTTAAAAAAATTACTACCGGACATCCGTCTTTCGGTAACATTGATGATAAGGTTTGTTAAGTGATTATCATCACATGATGACGAACTCATTAAATATTATTGATTGAATAAGCATTGCACTTATACTACCTATTATCATAATGAAGGCAACTTGGAAGAAACTACTTCCTATACTGCCGTTAACTTCAAGCTGAGCTGTTATGGTCGTCGTTGATAAAAGTGAGCGATGTGATATTTAGTACGGCATAATTTAAAAGATTTGAATACGACACCGTATTATTTTGGCAGTTAACTTATTTTTAATCATGTGAGCTCGATAAGCGCCAGTATTGATTGTCAATTTTGCTTTATTCCCGATACATGTCAATCGTTAGTCGAACCTTGCGGAATCAGCAGCTTCTTCAATCATTAGGCATTAAACCACTCCTACTCCTCCTCCTCCTCCTCCGTTCTGGACAGGTGGTCATTGTTAAAGAAGCAGTCCCCTTTATACAACTCATCGTATTTCTCATCTTGTATGTAAATAAAATATGGGTATTGGAAACAATGTTGTAGCGACTGTCCCAGATACCTCCTTTTAATGCTCTTTGTCCTTCTCCACTTTATATCCGATTGTATAAATTGCCAACATGGTCAAATAAACAGGCTGCTTATAACAACCCTTAACCCCCCTCCCATGCCCCCCCCCCCCCACCACCACCACCACCTTATCCCAAACTATCGGCAGCGATACGTGGATGTGTGCAGAGAGGTTTTTTGGTTGTCGGACAACGGTGTCAGTATTCAATTTGAAGCTGACTCCGGGCCAGAGAGAGATGGATTCGTGCATACATTCATACAGCACCTGAATGATTTAATTAGCACATTCACGGCTTATTGCATCAACATGTACACACCATTTTACTTTTTGACGTAAGTCAGCTAGGCAGCAGTGGCATAAAGCAGCATGAGATTGTGGAATTTATTACTGTTTTCGGACTGAAGTGGCAGGCAGATTAATTAAAGTGGGCGCCCCTCATCAGAAATGCTATTGCGCGCTCTCTGCAATTATCCCAATTTTGGAAGGAGTTTTATTTGATGGATTCATCAAAATACCATTCGCCATTTACTGACATTGATAATATTTAACGACGATTTTTATGCATCCAATAAAAAATTGGTATTTCGTTAATTGCCAGCTGATTTTACGTCACCAAAAAAGGATAATTGTTAGCGCAAAGAGACTGATTAAAATAAGATTAAATTATTTAATTAAATTAAAATTATTTTCAAACCACTAATAGAGTACGATTTTTTCATCCGATTGAATTTAAATAGAAGAAAAGAATATATTCATATAAAGCGTTTAGATGCGACATATTAAATGACAGACATGCCCAACTTAAGAAAATCACTTTAGTTTAACTGAAGTATTTGTGAAATAAACTTTTCTTTTTGTTCAAATAGGTATAGACCCTTTCCTGTCAAACTTTAACTCTGTGATTTAATACTCAAAGCGAAAATTTGTCAAAAATGTAATCTTCTTATTGTTTTTTCATAATACCCGAAAATTGTGATCGATTTGATTTATCGATATACTGCGAAAATTTTCAAGAGGCACCCAGATCAGTTATTTAAGTGTACAAATGAATAAATTATTTAACGTAGTAATCTATTAAATTAAGCTCTGCTTAGGCCTAAGCATTTGAAATGTTGTCAATATAATTGATTGAACATTAAAACGAAGCATCCTTAAAACTTTCAATATATTAATTTTCGATCAAATATTTATTCGCGCATGTCGATAAGCCCACTCACTAATTAACTTTGTAGATATTCTAACCCTCGAGATCGGTTAAAGTAGCCGGTTTGGAAGACCATCTGCCTCTGTCGGCATAAAAAGTCAGGAGCTAAAAAATGCAGTACAATCAAAGGCCTCTGTAGAAAGTAGATAAATCTTTTGAACAAATGGTCTACCGACAAAGCGGAATGTGAGCGTAAATCTAGTCTAGCTGCTTTCGGCCTCAGAAACGACTCAACTCTACTAATCTGCCACGTGTCAAAAAGAGAGGATGAGAGGTGAGAAAGGTGGGAGAGAGATGGATGATGGAGAACATGTGTCTAGTTATAAGGTCAACTAACAGCCCTACATCTCTATCCCTGGTCTCCCATTCCCCCCCCCCCCTACTTCACCTCTAATTAGTCAAGCGCATACACATATCCAATCGCTTCGCATCCCATCACGTCCTCAAAGCAGACCATAGGCCCATTAATACACTTTGTGCAGCCAGCCTAAGATAGGCGCAAAGGTGTGCTGTGTCTATTTAAATGCTCTCCTACTCTGCATGTTTGAAATGCCAGATGAAAGAACATAACTGATACCCTACAAGGCCACAAATGTAGGATGCGCACACACACGCACACACGTATCTAAGGGGAACAAACACGAGACAATTTTTCAAATAGATGTACTCTTGATAGATAATTTAACTGTACAAACGAGGTGGGGAGAGTATTGTGCCTTTTACTACTAAATAATGTTCCAGTTAGCATCCAGACCAATTGAATACGGCTGGAGGAGCTTGAGCAGGATTGCTACCACTGTTGCCACGATCCTGTTGCAAAGAAGACAGAGCTGCCGCAGCTAGATACCAAGGCTGGGTAAAAATTGGAGAGACAACTTCTGAGGGGAATAGGTCTCTCCAGTTTGGAGGTAGTGGTGGAGGAGGGGGGAAATTTGGCATACCTTCCGAGTTTTGATGACCAGCTATAGCCGCAGCGGCAATTGAAGCAGCTTTCAGAAGGAATGACGTTTGACTATCCGGAGTTTGATTTACTGACACCTCAGAAGTGAGAGGAGAAAGTTCTCTAGATTGCGACTTTTCCCCACCATCGGAGATTGAGTGATCCTCGGACACCAGACTCCTTTGTGATCCCATCATTTTAGAGTATTGTGACTGAATGTAAGATCTAAGATCTTCACTCGCATTTAGCAACGACTCTTCCGATTTAGGACTGGAAGTTCCAGGACCTTGCCCATTAACGTTGGTAGGTGGAGGAACCGGTTGTGAAGGTCGTAAATATGGGGAAAGAAACTCTGTATTTCCAACGGAACTATTTCCAACAGAATTAGGAATTGGTGGACTATAAGTGGTGGGGCTATTAACATCCTTTCCAGGATTCTGTTTTTTCCACTTGGTGCGCCGATTTTGGAACCAAATTTTCACTTGAGTTTCGGTTAAGTTTAACGCCAGAGCCAGATTGAGTCTCTCATACACTGAAAGATATCGAGTAGATTGAAATTTGTTCTCTAGAGTAACCAGCTGCTCATAAGTGAACGCGGTTCGAGCGCGCCTGGCTTTTCGACTTGTGTTTGATGTCGTTCCGCCACCACCACAACTCGTATGAGAAATATCAGCAGCAGCATCTGCTTCATCGGCTTTTCCTACAAATTCATATACTACTTCACCCCCTTTAGTACCGCTTTCCTCCTCAATCTCCCCTTGAGTTGAAGTCGCTCCGCTGTCAAGATCACTCATGTTGTGGTTTTTGTCTTCGACTTGTTTCCCCTCGAATGGTTGACTGGCTAGTATATCTTGAAGGTGTTTCGTAGAAAAGATGCTTTGGTAGATTTCAGTGTTTGGATCCACCTTGCTAATGGTTTCTGCACCTGCTGAAAACGGGAGGAATAGAAGGTTGGCATTAATCGCTTTGTGTTTAAATTTATTGACCGCCATATTGGCGAAGTCTACATTGAACAAGTTGACTGAATGACATGACATGCTTAATTGACATGAACTGACTTTCAGGCCTATCTAATGGTTCCCTCCTAATTATTACTAAATTGAACAATCCTAAATCCAATAATGGAAGTCTATTTAGTGATATGAAGTCTCAATTTCAGCGGAATTACCGAGAACTGGTTCAGAGTTGGTTTTAATGCATCATTAGCTTCATTGGCTGAAATGAAAATTAACAAAAAGCTAGGATTATCCGATGTTATTTCTTACCCAATTTATATATATATATAAAATTTTAAAGGGTATATTGTCTGAATTTGCCTTACTACGCGGAGAAACACGCGCCATTGTCTATTTTTCCTTAAATAAGTATTTCTTATAATTTCGACCGCAGTCCTAATCATAATGACTCCTGCTTAGCATAGCAAAACAAATTAATTTTAGCAATTAGTTGGTAGGCCAAGTTACAAAATTGAGCTTTAATCCACGAAAAATTGTATTCAGTACAGTCTTTACCCAATGGTTCTTAAGATCAAGCCCCACCTGAGCCGGACCGCCACTGCTGGGGCTCAGGACTAAGATCACCAACTTTTACCATTGTCTTGACAACTGCGCATCTCCCTGTCCCCTCCCATATCTATGACGCATAACTTCAATGGTCTTTGCTGAATATCCAGTTGGAAGGAACTGAAAATCATAAATAGATAAATACACTTCACACTCGCTTTCTGATTTCTTCCCTTGCTCTTGTTTATCTCATTTGAATCTGTTTTCTCCAATGTCATTACAACTATTTCCGGTTGACTCTCTCAGTGAAACCAGTGGTCTAATGAATAGATCAAAGTCGGCTTGCCTTATTTACCGATTTAGCAGCAGCATTAGGAAGTTTGTATAAGTTAAAATCCGACCCATTTAGCAGACTTTCGGCTACTCTTTTTTACCTCTCTCCCTCACACCCCATCGTCCCCGCTTTTGCAATGCAGATGGCCGACATAAGCTGGGAAGAGCAAATGACCCTCTTAACGCCCAGTTCAACGAGGCGGTACCGTTTTGGAGCAGTATTGATAATATATGTATATACATACCGTAATCACAATTCATCTATCATTCCCCCCACCCTCTTTTAAACTCAAATACCTGCTATTCCAAGCGGCTGAACTTTTATAACATTGCAGATGTATTGTTTAATTCTAACAGAGTCAGCTCAAAGCAGGCACATATTGTTATACATTCATATCTCCTTGGTATAAGTGAAGTCAAAATCTGGGATAAGAAGAATGGCTTTAATTGGGTTGGAGTGGGGAGGGGGGGGGGGGGGTGGAAGAGAGGGAATTAATCAGATTTTTAAGGTAAAAGTGAATTAAGATTTTAGGAAATTAAAACGTGAATGAAGTTTAATTATATGAATTTAGGTTTCTGGAAAAAATGCCATGTCTATTTTCTTTAAAACTGCAAAATAACTTTTCATTAACTAGCATCTAAAATCTATCTATTTCCATCATAATTCGATTAAACAAAATGGAGGATAATGAGCTTTCCTATTAATGCATGAGAAATTAAATTCTAACCAACTACATGATCCATCGACCGAAACAAATTTCAAAGGCTTCCCAATTTAAGGTTTAGAGGTGGTATGACCAATCACTCAACTGAGTCATTTAATCAACGAGAAATTATGAAATTTAAAATTTGGAATTTTTTTATCTTTTCGCTGAAACCTCACCCACTAGGAAGTGGACAGCACAACAAGGTGAGAGCCAATGCTGTCACGCAGATACTCTTTTTTTCAGAATTGAAACTGATGCTCATTCCCGGTTTGTCATGAGTAGCACTGATAATAAAATGACCTTTTCAACAAAAAAATACCTTCAACCAGCCATGGAAACGGTGTTCTTCTCAGTCTCGTTCTATCCCAAGCTTTATTACTCGGCTATCAATCCATTTAACGCTTGAATTCTTATCAAAAGGAATGCCACCGACACACGTTCCTTTTGAAAAATGATTACGGTAAATTAAGCGATTCAATTGTCCTTTTTCTATACATTTTTTCCCAGTAATTTCTTAAATGCCTCATCATTAGACAATTCCAATGATTAGATATTTTAACCGAAAAACCTACATTTCATAACTTCCTAAATCAATTTTTGCGTGGGCTATTTCAAATCTGATGTCCTCTATGAAGAAAAAATGAGATTTGTTAAATGAGAATATTAGTATTGTCTTAATTCATGCCATTTTCTTTGTGGCCTATTTCATTAAGCTCAAGAGAAAAGACCACCAAAGGTCGATTTACTATGGTTAATTAACTAGACTAGAAACTATGAATAATCCTCAACTGTATGCATATTCCAAAGATAAACGATTTCAGAAATATTTGTTGAGCAGCCATGAAATCGGTCAAATTTGTCTATTGAGATTGGCTAATCAAGGGGGTGCACATTTTATTCTATTAGAATTAAGTTCGCCATGCTTTAGGAAAGTACAACGAATGCCAAATCATGTCAGAAATAACAGCCTAACAAATTTCTTTTCAATCACCATCAGAAGGGTAAAAGAAAAGTTCAAAGCACACAATCCCACTCCAAAAACATACAAACTCAAGCATTCAATATCTGTTGTGCTAAATAGCAAAGCAGCTCACATAATTCCTAAATAGAATTAAAGGGGTGGGGGAGGGGGTAAAAACTCACTCTTGGAGGCTTGAAGAAGATCCTGAATAAGGAATGATCGTCCATTGACTTCCCCTTTGCATTCCTCATCCGCCATCGTCGGTGTTCTATTACTCTCTACGTGGATCCTTTTCTCCGAATCGTCTTCACTTCTGTTTGATGTTGTTCTCCTCTTCAGGATGGATGATTCCTGAAACTCCTCCGTACGACCTTTATCCTCGCTAGACATTCGGTCAACTGGATGCAGTGCAGTGAAGTGTGTGCGTGTGATGTTCATGGGTGTCACCAGATATGCGGCTAACCACCCTCTTCACTTTATTTCTCCCCTTTCAGTTTCTTTCCAATCCGACTTCCCTATGGCTGGAGACGTATACACAATACAAGCCATGCATAAGGGTAGGGGGTTGAAGTACCGTATAATTCACTGAAGTTAGTGTCGCGCCTCTCCTGATTGGTGCGCGAGCTCATTGACGACTGACCAATGGCAGGCGTGCGTTGATGCGTAGTGATCGCTGATACGAACGCGTGATATTTCAATGAAATTTAAATTTTTACTCGTAAGATAATGGGAAAATTTTCCATTAGTTGGGTTTCAATTTATTTAAATATTTACTATTTAGAGGTCTAGGTATCAAGAGAAAATGAATAAGATAAAAACATGAAAGTTTGTTATTTAACCAAGGGCCAAGTAACCAAGCCAGGTGAAATTTTGTTAAAAACGACTTTTAGCTAGAGGCAAATTTGGCCTGATACGATGTGATCGCTAAGAAGAAATCGAAACTGCAATAAACATTCCAATGTTTGTGATACTTATTGACTTTCCGATAAAAGGACCATAAGAACGGAATACTGAAATTTGAAGTCTGAAAACGAGCTGGAATTAAGTACTAGAAGATCTAGTTTATTCCCAAGAACCTTGATACCTATGCATTCTTTTAGCACAATTCATATCTTTGATATGATTTTTTTACTTACTAGACTTATTAGTTAAGCGGTCATAAATGACGAAGTTTCTCAAAGAATAAGTACGCATATTACACCACAAAAGATTTACATATTTTCGTAGTCAACCCTGAGCGAATGCATAATCGATAAATCAAGAGTGCAATTCTCCAAGGGGGTCTGAATTGATTCAATATTTAGCACCTTTTTACTAATTATGCAACTTATCTAAATAACAAAAAGGGGCTTCTGCATTTTCATTGACGTAATTTCATTCGAAAACAAACTCTTCTAAATTGACACAGAAAGCAGTCTCTGTTAACATTATTTTAAGAGAACCCACAAGTTAGTCATGTCCAATAAAACACTTAATAAAGAGAAGATCAAAGTAAATTAGTGGAATTCAAGTCATTAAATGGAGATTTCTTCATAACCCCAGTTGCGGCAAGGCTTTTTTTACTTAAACCTTCTTCCTCTGAGTGCATTTAGCTTATCGGGCTAAAATTGAGGTGGAAGTTTGTATTCATTAGCATTATCTTAATCTCGCTTTCCACAGACAAGTTTAAGCTTGTCTGATTACAGCCAAATCAAATAGATTTAAAAGACGCCACTTTCGTTTTTAGAGAGTAAAGGTTCTGCAAGTTGACAACAGAGGGCATATTAATAACAATTTATCTGATTTACCGTGGTAGAGTTCATTAGAGAGAGTCCAAGACAAAGTTTGCTATATCTGATTGTCCCCATTATTGTTGTTGAGACCTATAATTTACGCTTAATTAGGTTACCAAACGAGTTGAATTAATTCAATATTCATCCTTAGTTCCCTTCTTATCTATGCTAACGTACAGTTGAAACTACAGCAAGTTTAAAATGCCTCCCATAAAACATGCTTAAAGTGGTTTCCTTTAATCCTATGAACAAAGGCACACATTTAAGGGAAAGTTAACTTCAATTTCATATTCCCACAAAGGCGGAAAAGCGACCTTTAAGTTGGATTCAATATACATACACATGGTTTTTAACCACATTCTCTCTTTCTTTGGAGCCCGTTTTTCACAATCCGAATTCACTTTAGAGCTAGATATTCTCCCCCTCCCCCAGAGCCATTTTTAAATGTCATTTTGAAGAAAAGTCAAAAAAGCCTCAAGAAGACGAATTGATACCTGCAGTCAATGCATGAATGCACTTGAAAGTGTCCTATTAAAGGAGTAAATGGTAAATAAGCCCCTTCTTTGCACCTGGGGAAAGGGATAGTTCATATTTTTTTACAGAATTTGTCTTCAGAAAGCGCGCACACATACGCAAGCAACAATTGTTTAATCTGTGCACTGAAATTCGATTTCCCTACCACAGTTAGATATTGATTATCATACTAAGGTGATGGGGATGAACTTTGTTACTATTAATTATTTTTGAATAAAAATACTCACTTGGCTTATTAACTAGAATGATAGCGCACTTAAAGTAGAAAGCGAATTTCATGAATTAAATATTGAAAGAGATTGAAAATAGGTCAGAAAGATTAAGGTTGTGAAGGGCAAACATACAGAGAATGTATAATATTGCACTTTTAACTTCTTATTTGCTTTTCCAATATTTTTTACGCTAATTTACTCTCTAACTGGGTTCTCGCTACAATTAACGTTATATTTTGATCATCATAATCGGGATACTTAAGCTCTATCACGATTTGTCATGATAATAATTATATCAGTTGAGATTAAATTGTATCGGGTTCTACTAGACCAAATTCAATTTGCTGAAATGATCTGGAGTGCCTGTTTAATGAATTCCAAAAAAGCACATTTCAATTTACAAAGGGACTTATTTGATAAATTCATAGATTTATGTCATTGATGGCACTAGATTCTTCCAGATATATTCACTTTTTTACTAATACCCCCAACTAAAATTAGTTTTAGTGTGTCACCTAGTTTGATGAATGAGAACGAAAAGTACATTTTTGAACAAACTCTTTTCTTCGTAAAAAATCCAATAAGAATTTATGAAATATGCATTATAATGGAATACTATTTTCCTATTTTCTTTGTAGGTGATTTGCGTTTTAGCTCCAAGATACTATTTCTACTAACATTAAAATAAATCAATAACATTGATCTTCTTCAAAGTGCACAATTAAAGTAAATGGCCTACATGATGGAATCACGATAGTTTATGAATTTTAAATACTCTAAATGGTCCTTAGCCGAATTAAAATGTTTTCACCACATAATATACCAGTAGAAGCCTAAAAATGAATTACACTTATGATCCTTGAGACTTCGGCTGCTCTATCTTTCTAACTCAAAAATATTCCAATATATAAGTATATATATACCTTTTTTGTGGATAACGGTCATAATCTTAATGAGTTCGAATGATTTAGGAAGATAAAAGTTTTTCAAAGGGGAAACTAAAATCCCCTCCATGTAATTATCAGCTCAAGGGTGTTAGAATAGCGTTAATTATAATTAGCGGAAAATCTATGAGTGAAATTAATGGAAAGTTGAACATGCGCAAGGAATTAGATAGAGTGAAGTCGTGTGATATTAATTATCAACATCATTTGAACCGTATTAACGATAATGATCATTGTTGAAATTTTAATTGTCTGATTGCGGATTAAATCAAAGCATATTTTCAACTTTACATTAAAGTAGCACGTGGCTTAAGACGAAGTGATCTTAGAAGAATCAGGGGGCTAGACAAAATAACACCCATTACTCTTTATTGTTATCGTATTTCATCAGTCTATACTGGTTTCTCAATACAATTACAGCAAGGAGGTATTTAGCTTGATACAAGGGGGACGAAAAAACGATTTTGAAAAGTGGCGCCAATTAAGAGCATAATATGCCTAGTTTTGAGGACGATTTGGTGGCAAATTAATAAGATGTTGGTCTTCATTTGGTTATTTTTAATTGTACGTCAAAAATCGTTTTAATTAGTTTATCAGGAAAAGTCTGAAAGATTAGCAGGCTTGTTATAGGAGCAAAACCCAATTTCCTACCTAGCTACTCTTTGGTTGATTTCTAATCTTCCGCTTTTACAATGCCATTACTCTCATTTTAACTCTCGCATCATCACTCCAATTAACCTACGTAGAAGTAGTGCGCCAATAAACTAATGAATAATAAATGAATTGCATTTGCTAACCTGATAATTTTGAAAATAAAATGAAGGCAATGATTGGCTAACGTTTTAAATTGATTGATATTAATCTAAAATTTATGGAAGGAATGAGGGTTGGCTGGTTGGTTTATGTTGATAAGTTTGACATTA